ACTGCATAGATCTATCAGTTCTAAACTGTTTTTCCTAGAGGTCCAGTAAGGATCATCTCTTATTGATCCAGTGTTACTACAGGAGGAAACCTAAACTGAACTAACTTTTTTTATACTGGATAGCTCTGTCAGTTCTAAACTGTTCTTCCTAGAGGTCCAGTAAGGGTCATCTCTTATTGATCAAGTGTTACTTCAAGAGGAAACTTAAACTAAACTAACTTTATTTATACTGGATAGATCTATCAGTTCTAAACTGTTCTTCCTAGAGGTACATTAAGGATCATCTCTTATTGATATTAATTTATGCTGAAATATAACTCTATGAAACTGTCTCCTGCCTTAATATCCAAATCATAATTGTAAAATGAATTAACTGAAATATTTTTTCAGTTCCAGTGCACAGCTTTACTCAATGAGGGTCGAAAAATTGACAGTCAGCTAAAGAAAGGTTTGTTTTTAGAATTTGTAGAACAAAACACTGCAGACCATGATACATAAATGTGAAATATATATGAATATAAAAACTTGAAATTTGGATATCGTGACGAAATTGTCAGGCTGGTTACGTCATTGTAAATGGTTAAACGGTAGACCTTAAGGTCGCCGCACACTAGGGCTATGTGCTTAGCAAAAAGTCATTCGTGGCCATTGTCGTGCAAGCCAGTTTCTCTCGTGTGCGGGCGGCTTTGGTCATTCGGAACACTTACGGCAAATATCTAGCATGTTTGATAATTTCTGCCTTGCGTGCCGAAATCCTTCTGTGTGCGGCTATTTTAAAATGAAAGCTATCTGCTTAAGGATTTTCTTAACAGCGCATGCGTAGTATAGAAAAGTAAACATTCAAGATGGCGGTGCAAAATGAATTGGTGGCTGAGACCATATACTACGCATGCGCTGTTAAGACAATCCGTAAGCAGATAGCTTTCATTTAGCCGCGCACGGAAAGATTTTGGCACACGAGGCAGAAATTATCAAATATGCTAGATATTTGAGGGTAAATCAGTTATGATTTTTGGCACTTCACTCGATTCAGGTAAATTCTAGAGGTTTAAATGGTCTTAATTTCCAGTGGAATTATACACACTTCAAATTCAAGCCAGGAACAGTTGATGGAAAAATGAGTCAACCATAGGTCCTCCTGCAGGAATCGAACCTACTGTACGCTTTTGCGATGCCTGTGCAATGCTCTTGCCACTGAGCTACAGAGGTAGCTGACAAGAGCAAGCGTGGTTAATGTGTATATGATGGTAATGCCGCAAATATAGGTGAGGGAAAATCAGTTATGATATTTGGCACTTCACTCGATGCAGGTAGACCCTAGAGGTTTAAAGGGTCGTAGGTTTGATTCCTGCCGGAGGACTCATAGTTGACTCATTTTTCCGTCAACTGTTCCTGGCTTGAATTTGAAGTGTGTATAATTCCACTCGAAATTAAGACCCTTTAAATGCTAGATTGTTTGCCGTAAGTGTCACGAATGGCCAAAGTCGCCGGAAAAGTCGCCTGCACACAAGAGAAACTGGCATATGGCTCTAGTGTGCGCCGGCCTTTGCACCACAATTGTCTGCCTGGGGGTGGTTAATTGGTGATTAATTCCAAAACTGAAAATTGTTTCACTGACTACCGTAGGCGACTTAAGCCTCTTACAGACGAGCAAGTTTTGTATGAAACGAGCAAGACTTAGTTTTCTATGACAAGTTTTTATATGACAAATTTTAATTGTTCTTCTGTACACCCAACCTTGTCATAGAAAACTTGCTCGTCTGCAAGAGGCTGAACGACAGCGCACAGTGGAAATCGTTAGGTGGGGGATGTTGAAAATCTTGAAACAAGTCTGATTTTCCGCTACGCTAACTAGTCCAAAATTGCACACTCTGTGATTTACAACAATTTACGCTCTAAAGCCGCGTTTATACTTCAGGCCTAGGCTTGACCTGGACCAGGTTTAGGACAAGTCTAGGTAATATGTGCCAGGTTCACACTGTCTTCCTTCTTGGTGATATCGGATAGCCAAAGCAATTGACAAAATACTTGGAAAAAGATCCAAAACAGATACAGAGTACATTTGCTGTATAAAGGCCTTCAACATATATCCTATTTATTTGAATGGTTATAGCCAAACCCAAGCACCACCGCGCGCTCGCCTTCTTTCAACTGACCTCTATATAATAACTGAATGCAATGTTATATTTTTCACCATGATTTTACTATTAAAGCGCCTGGGTACGAGGCTGGCCAAGGCTTGTTTCTTTACATACGGTTGTTGGATTTTGATACACATGATACACATGCAACTGTTATGTTTGAAAGCTTTAATATCTAATTTTAAGGTTTACGGTGGTTATTACAAACTATGAATGAGGATTTTGCATCTTTGAAGGAGCGAGTTGAGAAAGATGTTGAGATTCAGGTATGTTGGTCTGAAGTTGCCATCGCAATTGATTTTGTGTGTGTCAGCCTTTTTGTGAGTGAACGCTCACTCTCTGACTTTCCCTCAGAGTGAAGCCAAGATGGCGGAACATGAAGTCTTTCTTGTAGGTATGATCCAGGCCACTGGCGCGGAAATTTCAGAGGTAAAATTATAATTGCCGCCATTTTACCTACCAAATTTCCGCGTGGAGGCCTGGATCATACCTACAAGAAAGGCTTCAGTATCCGCCATCTTTGATTTGATCCATCCAGATTGGATTTTTAGTTCAGTTTCACCCTGTTCATTGCCAGTTGCAAATCAGTGTTTGCATTTGAGATCAGTGAGCGAGCTATCCTTTCAAAATCAGCGTGTGACCCTACAAACATACATTTGAGATCAGTCAGTTATCTATTCAGGTGTATTTGTGATCGATTTTGTGTCAGCGTTTTCTCGCAACAGTTTGTTCATCATTCATCCAGTTCTGATTTTGAGATCAGTCCACCCTATTCCGTGCCAGTGAGATCAGTGAGCTGTCCACATATCGTTTGGTTTGAGATCAGCGAGTTGTTATTCAGTGTATTTAGTATTTTTGGACAAGTGAATTGACAGAAGAACTGCATTTGTTCGCTTATCTCTTTGTGAAAAACGTCCACAAAACGGCTAGCCGCCATTTTAAAATTTCGGTTTTGTTATATATGCCTGAAGGTGAATATAACAGCATAATACGTCAAATTTGACCAATCAGAATGTAAGATTTGTTATATTCATTTGGGCAAAAATACTACTTGACATTAGTGAGTGACAGGTCCAGTTGATCTTTGCTGTGTTTAGTAGAGATCAGTGTCTAACAATTCGCACAAAATAAAAATTTTGCTTTTGATTAAGACTATGTTTTCTGTAAATTGTTATGGGGCAGAAAGAATGTGTTTTTCATAGAACATTGCTTGTTTTTTATTTAGAAAGAGGCTGAGAAGAAGACGAGGGCTGAGCGCTTGGAAAGGGTTAGAAAAAATCGGGAAGAAAGGTTAGTGAAAAGTTTGTCATCTGACGGATATATGCATTGTAAACAAACTGTTGTGTCTGAATTTCGCCATAAACCCTCTCATCTATTTCATACGACTGAAAAACTATCGCAAAACGATATTGCTTGTGTTTCGCTGTGGAAATTAGGAGTTTCCTTTGTGGCGTTTTGCGAAGGAGAAAGTTTATTCATTGAATAACAGAATGCGTTGTTTTAATGTTGTGTATGATTCCACTCGAAATTAAAACCTTTAAAATTTACCTACATCGAGTGAACTGCCAAAAAATCGTAATTGATTACCCTAGCTCACCTATACTCGGCATTACCGCCTTAAAATACACATTAACACTAAAGTGAAGTGAAGTGAAGTGAAGTGAAGTGAAGTGAAGTGAAGTGAAGTGAAGTGAAGTGAAGTGAAGTGAAGTGAAGTGAACATAGAAGTAATGTATAGACCTACTCTGTTCTTATCTTAGATTTGTAATTTATGTTGCATGTACTAGTTGTAAGATTTCGTATTGAACATAACGTGTTAAGCGCTATTGATCTGTCATCGTAAATAGGGCTATACAAGTGTTAAATGATTAAATTATATTATTATTATTGACCTATATACATATATATTTCAAGCTACATTCGTTTTTATTCTGACAGTGTCAAATTCAATATGAGTCGAATATATCACGCGTCATTTCCGATGATGCTAAGTGTTTTTAATAGACAAATTTCAATTTAATATATATTTATATAATGCATGAAACTCGGGCTTCTTGATAAAAAAAACAACACCGCTCAATTATTAAACTGTGTTTATGAACTAGAAAAAGCTGGACGATTTGGAATAATAATTATATATATATATACACCTTTAGTTGTATCCAAATATCCATCCCCGCACGATCAAATTTTGTACATATGTCCCTACATCATACCGATTTTACATCACCTTTCCACCTTTCTTCTATATCTATGTCCATAACTACCCTGCCTATGTATTCTGTTGACTTTCGGCTATATCACGCTTTCATTTCATATTTCAGAGAACGCGCCGAACGAGAAAAGGAAGCCGCTAAAAATAAAGAGACTGTCGATTCTGATGACGAAGCCGTTGTTTTTGGAAATGTAAGTTCAATTTTTACAATGATTCAGAAAATTGAAGCTTTTTTCTTGAAATACGATTTCAAACACTCGTCGATTACCAAAAAAGTAACACTTTTGAAAACAACTTGTTGTTAAGGTGTTACCAAGGGTAAAGGATCTCTCGAAAACGAAGGGAAACAGAACAAAAAAAATAGAATTTGAGGAAGAGAATGTGGAAAATGTTGACGAAAACGTGGAACAACCTGAGTCACAAAACGTGGTGAGTTGTGCTTTAACTAAACTAACTTTAGTTATATTGGATAGCTCTATCAGTTCTAAACTAATAATATGTCTTGTAATTAGGTTAATGAATGGAATACCGAAGATATAACCGAAGAACCTCTGTCAGAAAATATTCATCAACTAAACGAGAGTGAAAACCAAGCAGTAACTAAGAAGAAACGAAAAAAGAAGAAGAAAGCGAAACGTAACTGTTCCGAGTGACGATGGAGAGAATAGCGACGCTGGAATCGTTTTGAAACCGATTGCTTGGAGAGGTTCATCGACCCCATTAAACGGTTTCCCTGGCAATGGCAGGAAATTAGAGCCAATCAGGGCTCCGCTACACAACAGTGAGTTTGAAAATTCTTTGATTGTGTGCTTTAACACTGGATCAAAAAGTGATGATCCTTTGTGATCATCCTAGTTACGTTTAGGTTTCCTCCTGTAGTAACACTGGATCAATAAGAAATGATCCTTACTGGACCTCTAGGAAGAACAGTTTAGAACTGATAGAGCTATCCAGTATAAATAAAGTGAGTTTAGCCTAGGTTTCCTTTTGTTGTAACACTGGATCAATAAGAGATAATCCTTACTGGACCTCAAGGAAGAACAGTTTAGAACTGATTGAGCTCTTCATTATCAATAAAGTTACTTTAGTTTATGTTTCCTCCTGTAGTAACACCAAATCAATGGGGGATAATCTTCCATGTTTGTCTGAAGATTGAGTTAATTTTGTTACAGATCTTTGTTCACCATCGCCTACAACAAGTCCAGTTTTTGATAAAGATAATCAATTGGAACAGGTGATTGATATATATTAAACCGTTTTATGTATGTGAAGTGGTGTATGGTGAAGGCGTTGCCAGAACAGGAATTTTAGGATATAGTGTTTTGCTCCACCATTCATATACCTTCTCTATTGCTTATAGTTCTGTAATGGTCATAGTCGTTCGTTTCGACCACGACCGAATGAAGAAGATTGTGACGTCATGTTATGACGTCATCGTTGTCAATTTCACGATGACGTCATCATCATAAATTATTAAAATAATCCTTTCTCAACACTTGATGTCTTCACGATGGCAAAATCAGTTCGTCATTTTGGGGCGGCTTCGGTTACGTCATGGTGACGCCACTATGAGGAAGTTTCCATAGCAACGCGAGCTTTTATGTCGAATTTAGTGACATCTTAGAGCAGTGGAAAATCAGAGCAATTTCAAATGGGAATTTTATAGTTAGAATCAATGATATTTATTAGGGCAATTCTTTATCTAATTATTTGTAGATATAAAATGTATATAATATATATTTGCATGTAATTGGGTTATATACAATATGTGAATATATTGTATTTAAATTGCATCATGTAGGCAGCCTTAACTCTGTTTTATGAAATACGCAATGAATAAATAATGTTTTCATGTGATTTATATTCACATGACAGTCAAATGGTATTTTATTTATTCAATTTAAAAGCATGCACTTTTAGTAAATAAAATGACATTGCTGAACCAAGCGACAATTTTAGAAAAGAAATATTCTGTTAAATGCTGTGAACATTGGGAACTTCAGGCTTTATTATAACTTTGAAATAGATTCAAAGTATCATCTTGAATATTGTGTCTTGTTTCTAACAACACATATCTTCGCATTTGCAATTTTTGCTGCGATTTTATATGCGATTTTCTTCTTTTCATGGATGTAAACGAGTAATTAGCTACGAATGCTCTGATGTATAAAAGCTCTTATTTAAACTCGGTAACTAAATTACTCATTCACATCTATCAAAAGAAGAAAATCGCACATAAAATAAATCGCTGCAAAAATTGCAAGTGTAAACGGGCCTTAATGTTTGACGAAGGAAAGCCTTTTGGCGAATGGTAAATATCATGGTAAATTTTATACAAATTTATTATTATTTGCAAATGTTCACCCACATGTTATTCCATTGCCATTGAGCGGACATATATTTATAATACAACAGAAATCGTTTAATATTTTGACCTAGTATCATGTTTCTTGTTTTAACAAAACCTTCAGTCAAAGGCTGATTTCTTCTTAGCGACATTTACCTGGGATTATGGCAGAAATATTGAGAAATACCTTGCTATTAAAGTATGTTTGCATCACAACAGTTCTAAAATGTTGCAACACGCAAGATTCCAGCGCTTGCTGCCCAAGAAATCGTTTTATTTTGTGGTGATTTCTTAGGAACACTTTATTATTTAGTTTGTAGTTTAATATTAACTGGTCGTCTATCATGTTATTACTGCGTCGCGCACTGCGCGAACGCAGTCTTAAATTGCCGTCGGTGTTTTTTTTTTGTTTTTTTTTTATGTTTTTTACGTTTTCGACCCGGTCTACCTGGCCGCGCAGGCCAACTAAGATACTCGTATTTTGAACTCGTTTGATTTCGTATCGAAATATTTTCGTGCTAAACACACTTCAAATAGTAATCTAAGCCAGTAACCCCCACAAAAGAAATATTTTACTGAAACAAAAAATTGAAAAAGTTTGTTGTCGCCGGGATTCGAACTCGGGTCGTGCGAACCAAAAGCAGGAAACTGCATGCACGATACACGTCATATAAAATAACACGTACACGAGTCGCTGTGCATGGCCGATAGCGCAGGAAATCTAGACGTTTGTCGTTCGAGAAAATACGTACAGGTAATCATAATGCTGGATTCTTGACTTGTCTTGTTTAATATGCTCACTCTGCATACACCAGCACACACTGATCATGGTAAACCTACACTAAAACGGGTTTACAGACAACGATCACATGAATCAAGAAAGCCTTGTATGTCATGAAAGCCTTGTATGCTATGAAAGCCTTGTATGCCATTCTATGCCATTTTTCAATCAAACTGCACTTTCCTTTCAAGGGTAAAAACGGCCAGACCAATCCTATTGAATTTCAGTACAAACTGATTCCGGCCCAGAGTACATGATTCCAAACTCAGCCTTATTCACGTATATCGTTAGCTACATATGCCTAGCACCAATAATGCAGTTTTACCCCTATATTCTGTACGAAGTGCTCTATTTACTAGAAAACCTAAGAAAGAAACATTTTTCTAAAGGAATAAATATTGACAGGAAATGGGGCACAGTTGCATGCAACGATTGGCGCGACGCAGTAACCGCCAGAATGGGCGTCTTGTTGCTGCCGCAGCGAGCGAGCCTGAAGCGAGCGAGCAAGGCAGCAGATCCTAATTTAGAAATGGGGGCGCAAAATTTGTCTTTGGCGCATTGCATGACGGTACCAGTGGCAGGGATGGAGGAACATATTTTATTTTGGGGGTGGCTGAATTTAAGTTCCGGCCATAGTTGACACGCTGAGAGCATATGTTATGTAGCGTAAGAGAGAAATAATTAACATTCACCTGAACACAATGTAGGATATTTCTTTTGTATTTTAGCAGGCGAACAGCAATTTGACGACCTTATTGTTGACGACCTTATTGTTACACGTTTGTGAAATTCTTTCATGTATTTTGGGGAGGGCTACGATTTTTGCCTTGCGCGGTGCGGTGCGTGATACTACGTGTATGGTATGTTAATTTATATTGTGAATAAAGGTGAAAACGTGCTTTGGAACATTGTATTAGCGTATTCGGGTGCCAGTAGATTTTCGATATAAACGAAACATAATACTCTTGTCACCTGCGGTGAAAATTTTTGACGCATTGCATGTTGGAGTTGGTGTCAGGTTATACCATTCCACGTGTTGGCTGCGTAAACTTTGGCGAATTTATTTCGAAGAAGGAAAACTATTTCGGTGAGTTTTTTGTAATCAAGTTCATATTTATTCAATGTTTTATTCATATTTAACTGTTCTTTTATATTTTATAAGTTGTTATTTTAGACAGAAGGTGAAATTTACGTAATTCTACGTTTTGGCTACATATTATAGTACTGCGAAGTATTAGAGGTATAAGGTATTTGGGTGAGTTTTTTACTGTCGAGTTCCTATTTATTCGATATTTTATTCATATTTTTAAACGATATACTTCACTATGGGCTTTTAGCCTTTTATGCCGAATTATGACTTAAATACTGGGATCGTGCATTTATTTGAGCGATCATTGAATATATCATTAAAAATTGCGTCTGTTTTGTTTGTTTAGCGCGCGGTGTTTATTAACTGTTCATTTATATTTTCCAGGTTGATATTTGGTCCGAAGGCGAGGCTTCAACTATTGTTATATAATCGAGTCTTTGTTCTTAGTTGCATCAGTAATTAAATGCATTGATTTTTGAATTTTTGTCAGTCATCTGTCATCAGTTGCTGACTCTTCTGTTTTGTTGCTGTATTTGCGCCTCGTTTTTGTGTCTTGTTAAGACACTCACTAGATCATCAAAAGTTTATTTCATGTGTGTTTTTGTATCTCATTGGATTCGTCGTATCCGTTACAGCAAAAGATGATTGACACGGAAGAACTGCACTTAACAGAAACAACATTTTCATAACGTTTTAATAACTATATTGAGCGATTTAAAAACATAATTGACAAATTTAAGTTCTGTTGGGGGCTCCGTTGCATAATAAACACTTTATTGATAGGTTTCGTAGAACATTTCTGTTCCCGAACAATATTGTTTTTGTCATTTTCCTGAAATAATGATAATAAGCTGAGGCTAAGCACTTTGTACTATATTTTATATTTCCAATCTCTTCTTGAACGTAAAAAAAATTTACGGTGGTTATGATTTCTGTTCTTCTAAAAGTTTAATGTTTTCATTGCATGGCTTACTCACAGGCAGCACTCCCTACCCTATGGGTACCCTAGTTCTAAATATATTGTTGGCAATGAAGTTCGTACGAGTGTGTCTTAAATTTGCCAAAGTTTGATAAACATTTCGCCAGTATTTCGTCGCCATTTTATCATTCAAATTTAAAAATAGAAATTCTAAGTGGAAATGATCACAGAAATGTTGATACTCAATAATATTTATTATTTTTTCTATTTATTTGCTGCCGAATCAATAGAAGTATTTAAGGAGCGCCTATTCATACGAGTGGTACGACCCAATTTTGTTCTCCCCAATTCGACTTTTGATGGATGTTTTATAGTCTGTTGACTTACGTATATGTGCAGCGTTTACCAAAAGCCAGGCCACATTTACCAAAAGCCAGGCCAGGTCAATACCAGACTACATTCCCGGCCTCAGAAGTAAATCAGACCTTAAGATTATGTAAAGTCATGCTGCGCATATCTTCTGCTTATAACAGTTAACAAACAAGACATCTTGAGAATCAAAATATAATTCAAACAAGACACAGATTGAGACTGTAAATTTTCGACTTTATTACAAAGTCATCTTCAGACAGAATGAAATACAATACTTTACAACGCATATATATACAACACAGAGAGAGAGCGCACGTGTCAATCCATGCAGCATGTAGGCGGAAGGCCGGTAAACCAAGGAGAGCGAAACATGATAAGGTTGTGAATAAAACTAAATATCATATGTATGCTATATTTACAACAATATGTTAGATAGATTAATTTAAGGAAAGAAAGACCCGACAATTAAAATATAGAGAGATTAAGTGAACAGTTGTAGTTCTTTGCTGGCTTTAAGTCCAGTTTTAAGGAAAGGTTTGTTGTGTTTGATTAAGAGTGCTTCAAGAAAGGCGATAATATGATAGTTATTCGATTTAGTTATGTGTAGAATTCTATAGTTATTGAAAACGAAGTTCTCAATAGGAGAAGGGTTATTCAAGGATAATGGTATATCGTTGAGCAGTGAGAACTGGTTTTGTAGTGTGGCTAAGAATTGAGCGTGCTCACACTCAGAGAAATGTTGGCCTACTGCACTAGAAGAGAGCCTAGTAGAATGCTCTTTCAAACGTATGAGAAAGGCACCTTTGCGTCATGCCAATATAGGTTTTCCCGCAGCCAGGGCAAGCGACTTCGTATGCTAAATTGCTACGAGTTAAAGAAGGAAGTTTGTCTTTGTTAGAAACAAAATAAGACAACCTTTTAGTGTCGTAAATAGTGACGAATTTCACCGGTTTGGAAAGAAATCTTTGTATTTTATTGAGACATGATTTAAGCAGAAAATCGCCCCGATTTCCGAGATAAGGTATACGGATCCAGATTTTGGGCAATAGATTATCATCCGCTTCATGAATAACCGTATTGACAACAGGAGTGGAATTTGAAAAATACTTAGTTTTGAGTTTATTTAGGGTGGAGTATATAACATTATTAGGATAACCATTCCAAGACATGAAAGATTTGATGATTTTGATTTGACTATCATCAATATATAACAAATATATATATTTGTTGGTTCGGAATTTGCTTTTTACTTTACTTTCTTAAATTGTCGGCTGGTCATGGTTTTTACAGTTAACAAGTTAAGCAACATTGTCATATAGGCGATTAGGCGTGTTGCCAATGTTAACAGGGGTGTACTTTTTGGTGTTGCTACACGCCCCAGTTTTGGCATATTGGTCGCTTAAACGTGACGTCCGTCGGTACCAGTGAACTCTATACAACTGGAACGATAACTCCTGACAAACATTCCTATTCAGCTTGAAGC